TATCACTATAATTTGGTTTGATCAATGAAATTTTCGGTTATTAAGTTATTGTTGTTTCACACGCATGTACTTTTATTTATTTATATATATATATATATATATATATATAACATGTATAAATTAAATAATATTATTAATCCAATTGTTGATAAGGAATGTGTTAATCGAATGGCAATATGATTAAAAAAGAGTAAAACAATTGTCATTCTTATTAGTTTTTTCAACAGTAAAAAGAAGAAAAATAAAAAGTTATTAAAGTGTAAAATCCCTTCTCCATGTTGAGATCCTTGCTCTTTTCAAGAAAATATTGTGTTACTCCGACTCCTTGCATATATTGTGGAGCTATTGAAAAAATATGTGGACATGTCTTCGATGATAGTGTGGAAGTGATTTTAAAGTTTATTTATTAAAAATAATATATATATATATATATATATAATAAAAAATTCTCATAAATATTTTTAATTTGTATATAAAATAAACCTTTTTAATTAAAAATTGTTTAAACTAATTGTAATTGTTTCATGTATTAAAATGAGTTGACTTAATTCATTTGACTTGATTTACCTTAACCTACTTTTTAAATAAATTGGTCTAATTTAACATATTTTCTTAAATATTCAAACTTTTCCACTGGGTTAAATAATTCAACCCACTAATTCACCTATTTAAAAAAAATGATTTAAAATAAATTTTAATTTATATTTTCAAATTAAGTTTTATACATGTAATGTTAAATTTAATAAAAAAAATTTAACTTTAAATAATCAAAATAGAATAAAAAAATTATTATTATTATTAACATAATTATTCATTAATATTAAATTTTATTATAAGATTGAATAAATAAATTTATTTAACAATTTTATGATGTTTAATGTCAATTTTATTTTCATAATATATGTATGTATATATAAAAAATAATATATGTATAATATTAAATAATTAAATGAGTTGTTGAATTGGACTCATGGAGATGTAAATAAATTAGATGGAGAACTTAGTCTCGGATAGACAGACTCAAAAGTGGGTCAAATTAAGTATTATGATTAATTATGGGGTTTTTAATATTTTTTAGCTGATCCGGTTCATTTGAATTGATCCATGAGTCAGATTCACTTTGGCGTTAACTCTCCTCTCTGTTTCTCTTTAGCTCTGGTAACGAAAAAACAAATCCCTTCTTTTACTTTACATCTCAAAATGCATTCTTGTTGGATAAAAAGAAACTTGCACATGTTCTTATGGAAAAATGATTGATTTCTCTTTTTTAATATGTACTCACAGGTTATTTATATACAATTTTTAATAAGATATTTTATAATTTTTATAAAGCAATAATTTTATTTTGATAAAGATTGTGAAAAATATGTGTTTTTTTTGTTGTTAGATAATAAGAAGGGAATGTGATAAATAAATGTATTTTCTCTCCTTTTAAACTCTTCAATTGTCAATTATTATAAGTATTAGTGTACAAGTTTTGATATGAAGTAATATTTTCATATCTCTCATGAAAATATATAGATAAGTAAGAAGGGTAAAATTGATACGTCATAATTTTGTTCTATAAACCCAATACAATCAACTAATATAACTATTTATATCAGTTTATGTGATTTATTTAAATGTGTCTTATAATATAGAGTTTTTTTATTTATGAATTTTTTTAAGTGACATTTATTGATTTGTTACTTGTTCGAGTATATTAAGTTCATGAGTTAGGTTTTTTGAGTAAAATTTCACATTTAAGGTTTATGAATGAAACAACATAGTTGTCAAATGTTTAGAGTTTAACACAATTTAGCCCAAATTCGTATAAGCACGTATGACAATGTTACTTTTGTTGTTAAGTAACATCAACTTTTGAAGTAACTATTTTGAAGATTAACCTGACTTATCACTATTAGAGTTTTTGTAAGATCATAAGCACCACCATAGGTGCCACCATTAGAAATGAGAATAGGTCAAACTTTAAACAATGACCTATAACCAAACTTATTTAATAAAAAAAACCAGATTTAGACTTTTATTATAACAATGTTGATTTTATGATGTTTTAATTTTAATTATATGATCATCGTTGTCTGGTTGTCAATGGTGTTGTTTAAGAACTCTAAAATCACGAGACTCAAAAGGTTAAATTGGTTTCTAATGATAGTTGGATTAGAGATAAGTTAATTCAACTTTAGGAGGGGTATATAAGTTTTTTATTTCAAACAAGAGCTTCATAAGTTTAGTTTTAAGAAAAAACTTAGAGAGAAGTTGGTGAGAAGTTATCTAAAGTTCAAGTGAAGTCATATAGAGCTAGTTCTTCTTTTCCTACCTTGATGATTCAATTCTCCAAGAGGTAAGAGAAGCTTGTGTTGATTTTGATAGTTGCATAATGAATATTGTTGTCTATAATCACTAGATTAAAGTTGTTATTGTTGGATTCATTAGGCTGGTGAGTTATGGGGTTGGGTTTTTTTTTTGAAGTGGTTGTATGTTGAATGTGGTAATCTTTGAATTTAGTGGTTGCATGCTGTAAATGTAGTTGTTTACGAGTTATTGGTGATGTCTGAATGTGGCTTTGTGCATTGCATGTGAAAATTTGGTTGAGTTTCAAGTGGATTGGTTTGAAATCAAGTTTTGCATAGGTATAGAACTAATATCACCCCAGGTGTGCCTTTTAGGTGTCAAGTGTTGTTTTACGTTGTTTTATAGTTGGACAATAATGAATGTCATATGAATGATGATGCATATTGATGAATTTGTATGATGTATGCTGGTATATTATATTTTAATAATTAGGTTATTAAGTTGTAAATTGATAGATGATAAAGTTATAAGTCGTATGTTGCTAAAACTGTTCATGGTTTTAAAGCTATAGGCATGTGATTTGGATACATGTCTTAATTATAATACATAAAAATTAGGGGAGATTAAAAGATATTTTAGAAATTAGAATATCTCATTGTAGATATATGTTATAATGCTTCGAGAGCCTGATTAAAATCCTTTAATAAGTAAGTTGCCTTTTGAATAGGTAGTTATTTTAAATTATCTCCTCTAGGTTTTATATGATATTTATATATGGGTAAGGTTGAGAAATACGTGTATAAAAGAACCAATCAAAGTAAAGTAGAAGGTTGGAGACTTAGTCCTTAACCAAGTATTGGAGGGACGTAGTTCTTAAAGGGTAATGAGTAGGCTAATCTAATAAGTGACTTAGTGCTGTAGACTAATGTTGTGATAGACTCATACCTAATTTATTTTACTTTAACATTAATATTAGAATTCATAGTTTAAATGAAAACACATGATAAATCAAATTAAGTTATTAAATAGGATCTCTATGAGACTTGAAGTTATTTAATACGTGATGATGCATTGGTTTTATATTGTTGTATGATGATTTATGTTATCGAGATAAAATTGATGAGTTGCTTTATGTCGTAAGTTACATTTTGAAATTGATGCTTTGTTTATGTTGTTCATGTTGACATTGATGTTGTGCTTGCATGCTGTTTTTATTTCACTTTACCTTATGTTTTTCTTGTGGTCAAAACTGCGATGATCATATTTTGTATGAGAGCAAACTAGTTAGGATTAGCTGGTGGCTTGTATGGCGGTGAAGGGTCATGTAGGAGATGACTGACTTGCTTTTGGTAGTTATTGCTTTGATTGCAGTGTTTGGTGTATACGTTTTATCAATAATTAGGGTTTATTTTGTATACAATACTTCCTCTTTTATGTATATAACTTTATGTACAAGATTTTGGTACATTTTTCTTCTCCTTACATAACTGTTTGCACGAGATTACATATTGGTTACATGATAATCATAAGCTAATTGTATGTTGTTTTATTTATTCATTACGTAGTAATTAAATTGTAATAAGTATAATGATTTATCGAGGTATTACATTAATAAATGTCTATTTAGTGCATACGAGTATGTAAGAGTTGTTCTTTAATTAATTGTTTATTTTTAATTTAAACTCTAAATTTTAATAATAATAAAGTAAACTATTTTTATTATGTAAATTAAAAAAAGACTCGTACACGTATTTAAAAATATAATTATTAACTTATTTAAAATAAATTTTATTGATTGTTTAATATTATTAATGTGAAATAAACTTCTAAATAGACCAAGAGTCCATATCAAACCTATAAAAAAATTTATGATAGATAATAAATCAAACTTAAATTTTAATTTTATAAAATAAACTGACCTGTAAACTTAAAATCTAACTTAACCTATTGTTATCTCTAACCACCACATATATCGACCCAAACACACAATTATATATATATAAAATTAGATATATCATCTATTATTCAACATAAAACAAGAGAAAACAACCTTTTAAGGAGGATGAATCGAGTTTTTTATATGAATACTAATTATCTATAAAACTAGTGATTACTCCATGCTTGTAATATGATGTTTAAAAAACAAAGTTGAAAGGAGACGAGCAAAAAGAAAAGAAAAAACCATGAATGAAATAATGTGTTTTTATTTTTATATAACAAATGTTGATCATGATTATATATATAAAAATGTAATGTAATTCAGACAGAAATCAAAATATTGTATGTTTTTAATATGAAAATTCATTCATATTGGAATCATGGTTTACTAAGAGGGTCATTGACGGTCTCCTGAATTTCTTCGGAATAGACAAAGGAGTCCAAAGTTTTGGTTACTGCCGTGGTCCTTGGTCCCGTATCATTTGGACTCACCAATAAATAAACCACCATCATCCCTTCATCTTAAAAATATTAACATCACTTTTCCAAATAATATAAATATAAATAAAATGACATATAAACTGACAGACATGAACATGATATATTAATAGATAGATAATTCATTTTCATTGTTTCCGTTTCTCACTAACTCAGTCACTCCTTCTGACTCTATCTCTCTCTCTCTCTCTCTCTCTTTATATGATATCTATCTATCTCACTCCCCTCGCATCACACAACACAACTCGTTGAACCCTAATTCGACACAGTGTATGGTTTCCTAGGTTATGGCTTCAGACAGTGCTTCTCGGTCCAGTTCTGCGGCCGATTCCTACATTGGCTGCTTGATCAGTTTGACCTCCAAGAGTGAGATCAGATACGAGGGTGTTCTCTACAACATCAACACCGATGAGTCCAGTATTGGCCTCAGAAACGGTATTCTCTCCCTTTTTTCGATCTGGGTCTCTTTACTTTTCTGCTCAATTTGCTTCTGTGTATCTTAGATCTCTCAAACGAGGCTAAAAATCTGACCTTTTTTTTGTTCTTGTTGTAAGTTTTTCTACCGGGAAAGAGATTGATCTGAAATTCGTATTGTTTTGTGGCCTTCTGTTGAAAACCTAAAATGGGTCTTCAATCTTGGTCACTTTTGAATGACATTGGGGTTTGTTTATATGTGGCTTGAACTCGTGTTTGAATCTGAAAATCTTTATGCAGTCATATCTGCTTCTGATAGTTGTGTTTCCTGTGGTTTGGAAGCTTGTTAATAAATTGTATGTGTTGTAGTTTTTCGAATTGTGCTTCTTTCGTTCTTGAATTTGATTTTTACTGGAATATATTTTTTATGTGGTTAGTTTGCGGTTTGCTCTCTTTGGATTTGTCCTCCTTTCTTTGGCTATTGATGATTGCTTATAATGAGCTATCTGGTGGTTGGTGGAAGATTGAGCTTTGGCCTTTGTGAAAGGGAAGCATGCTATGTGCTTCTCATCAGTGTTTTTAGTGCTTTGAAAGCTTTTTGATAATCTGTCTGGATTTTGGGTTTCTGAAGTGTGATTGTTTCATTGTTGGTGTCATTCTCACTGATTGATGATTAGGTTTTGATTTCTGTTTTGTTATTTGTTCTCTTTGTTTGTTCTTCTTAATACATAATTGTTAGGTAATTTCTTACACGATTCTATGGAGGGTGAGCCTTGGTGTGGCGTCAAGGTTGCTTCTTTGTGACATAGCAGTCATGGGTTTAGCTTCTAAAATTCCATTCATGGGAGTAACGGCGTGCATAGTTGATGCTTCCTATTGTGTGCTGTGACGCCCTATCCTGTACGATTTTTTGTCGTGTTCCCTACGTCCACAAAAATTGTAGTAACCATGGTGTGATGTCAAGGTTGCTTCTTTGAGACATAGTAGTCATGGGTTTAGTCTCTAAAATTCCATTCATGGGAGTAAGGGGGTGCAAAATTGAAGCTTTGTATTGTGTGCTGTGACACCATATCATATGCAACTTTTTGTCGTGTTCCCTACGTCCGAAAGAATTGCAGTAACCTTGGTGTGATGTTAAGCATTCATAGGTTTAGTCTGAAATTCCATTCATTGGAGTAAGGGCGAGGATGATTGATGCTTCCTATTGTGTGCTGTGAAACCCTATCCTGTATGAATTTTTGTCGTGTTCACTACGTCCAAAAGAATTGCAGTAATCATATGGAAGTTTAAGTCCTTTGGATGAAGTTAACATAATGATGAAATGCCGGAAATGGAAATGATTGCAGCAGCAATCATTGCAGATTGGAAATGGTGCAGATAGCTTTTTTTATATTAGATCATTAACCATTAAGAAAGAATTATAACCATCATACCTATTTATTTATATTAAAAGTGTGATCAATGTATTCTGGGACAAAAAAGGAAAGAGCTTTTCTAGAATTTTTACTAAAAGGGTGGTCCATTGTCCGGTGCACAAGTCTTCTACCAATGTGGGGTTGCGGGAGGGTTAGATACAGTGTTGTAAAAAGCCCGAGTCATCTTGTAGGATTGATCCTGCGAGTTTTTCCCTTTGTAGCGGTAGCGTGATAGATCACAACTTGGTTGGAACTGGGTAGGATTGTGGTCTTGGCGGTGGAGTTGGAGGATCTGACCATCCTGAACAAGCCTTCCCTTGCTGGTCTGAGATAGGTTGTCAGACTGGGTTAGGGACGGCCCAGTAAAAACCCTTTTTAGGGTTAAAAATTGCTGAACTCTTTTCCCTGTTGTATATTGCAATCACAAATCAAGCCAGAACGAGCCTTGCCTTTGCACACAGCTGCCACCTGCGATGCCCCCTTCTCCTGCGCAGCTGCTTGCGATTGATTCTTCTCTGGCTGCGCAAGATGTGAACAGCCAGGGTGTTGTTCTCGGAGTCTGATCTCTCTTCACTGTTATTTTATTTTTACTTTTTATTGTTCTCTACTCATCTGCTGTTCTTCTGAACCATAAATGGCTTAAAATGGGGCCAGTGGTGCTGAAGGTGCAGGGCAGAGACAGCACGGCAACACAGAATGATATTATTAGGGCTTCGCCAAAGAATATGAAATAGAGATGGGTCTAGAGAATAACTAAAATCTTCATGACATAAGAAAAATAGGGCAGGAGTTACATTGACGACACAACTCAAACAGCAAAATAAAGGTAGGTTCTGTGACCACAACTGAGTAAGGTTGAGAGGCAGAGTAAGCTCCTTAGGATGTTCATTGAAGCAGTGCTGAATTGATTTCTAATCCCTAAAATTAGTTTGTGGGTGGTGTCGGTGGCCAAGCCAAACCAAATTCTGGTTTGCTGTGCTCTAATAGTGGTTGCCATTAAAATGGTTCTAGTTGATATTGTAAATTTGTCAATGCACCAGATATTTCATTGTCGAAATCAAATTTTGGTAAAAGAGATATTATTTCATCAGTTTTACTTTTACATTAGTTTGTGCTTACAAGTTGAAGCCCCCTTACTAGTGAGACAGATGTTTAAGCCTGGTTAAGTAGATTTAAATGTTATGTTGTTTGCTTGTTTATTACAGATTATATATATTTTTTGGTTGGATGAAAACTGCTGGCCAATGGCCTGGACATTAGCTTCCAAATTTGCGAAGGGTACAAGATTTTGCTCTAACAATGTGGATTGCTAATAAAGTGAATTGTATCAGCTTTGAATTTTATTATCACGTTTCCATAATTTATGCTGCTAAACAACTTTCTATGTGTTGTTTACTGTCACAAGCTGGCTTGGTTGGTGATACTTTTTTTTATGGTTTTTGGGCAGTGCGATCTTTTGGAACAGAAGGAAGGAAAAAGGATGGTCCACAAATTCCTCCAGGTGACAAGGTGTATGAGTATATACTGTTCCGCGGAACAGACATCAAGGTATCATAAAAGAAACATATACAGACACCTTTACAAAATAGTTGATGTTTGCTTTGGAAAGAATGACATGCAATTTCTTTGTAGTTATTTTTTGGGGGACCTACTTGTTCTTGAAGCATTGCAATACTGAGACATTTAGGCATATTTTCTGGCATTCATCTTTACCTCAATCTCTTGTAGAAGGTCTGTTTCTAGTACTTGCTTCAAAACATATCTAAGATCACTAGATATGGAAGTGGGGATAAGAAAGCGGATCTTGAATATCATGTTCCGTTTTATAAGCATATTGTTATTACATGACACCTACTTACTGTTACTGCTTGAGGGCTTTGAGTTATTTACATCATTACATGCCATTCATATTAATCAGATTGGCTGAAAACATCTATAATTCTTTCTGCAGGATTTACAGGTTAAATCTTCTCCACCTGTCCAGCCTATTCCACCGATAAACACTGATCCAGCTATTATTCAGGTTGATGAGCAGCTTTTTGGATACACTATGCATCAAACTATATTAATATCATCCTAATTTGTGGAATTGCCTTGCAGTCTCAATATCCTCGCCCTGTCACCACATCTGCGAGTTTACCAGCCGTAAGTGGGTCTTTGGCTGATCTTAGTACTCATGCCCCACAGCTCGGACATCCTGGATCAAATTTTCAAGGGCCCATGCCTTTATATCAACCTGGAGGGAACATAGGGTCATGGGGAGCGTCTTCAGCTGCCCCAAATGCAAATGGTGGTGGGCTTGCTATGCCTATGTATTGGCAAGGATATTATAGTGCCCCAAATGGACTTCCTCCTCATTTGCACCAGCAATCTTTGCTTCGACCACCGCCTGGCTTATCGATGCCTTCATCTATGCAGCAACCAATGCAGTTTCCTAATTTTAGTCCCGCTTTGCCAACTGGGCCTTCAAATTTGCCAGAATTACCATCATCTTTACTCCCTATGGGTACTAGTTCTGCTGGTATAACATCAACTTCTATACCCTCATCGAATCTTGCATCAACCTTACCTCCAGCTCCTTCTGCTACACTAGCTCCTGAAACTTTGCAAGGATCAGTTCCAAACAGGACATCAACTGTTTCGCTTCCAGCAGTCACACTAGCAGCTAACTTACCATCAGTAACTCCTAGTGGTCCAGATATCAGTGCATTAGCACCACTGATTAACAAATCTAGTGTAATTTCTGGTTCAAGCTTGCCATACCAAACTTTATCCCAGATGACTCCTGCAATTGTTGGATCATCAAATTCTACCTTGCCATACCAAACTGTATCCCAGACGACTCCTGCAATTGCTGGGTCATCAAATTCTATCCTGCCATACCAAACTGTATCCCAGATGACTCCTGCAATTGTAGGATCATCAAATTCTACCCGTATAGAAACACCAGTCCCTTCTCTGGTAACCCCTGGTCAATTATTGCAATCTGGACCAACTGTAGCATCTTCATCTCAGACCTCACAAACACCTCATAAGGATGTTGAAGTGGTTCAGGTATCATCAACGTTGCCTCCAGAGACATCTGTCCCAGTTTCTGCTGACACTCAGCCACCAATATTGCCTTTGCCAGTAACTTCACGGCCCAGCCAGAGGGTAATCTTTCATTGCTTTCTCTCACACATACATGCAGCTACACATGGTAGATTTTGGTTTTACATGCGCTTTATCTTTATATATAATTAGCCCATTGGATACTGGAATCATGCTAGTAGATTGAATTATCCTTTCATCAACATTCATGTGTGCAATTAGATTAAACTTTCACGGTGAACTACTACAGGCAGGTGCCTGTTGCCCATCCCATAAACTACACCTTGATCAAACAGGAATTTTGGCAGTTGTGCTCTATATTTTAGATAACCTGCTTTGTTTTCCTCCACCCTATCACCTGTCATTTTGTAGAGATTTTGAAGTAGAATTTGATCAGGTTGGTCTATATAGTTTAACTGGTGAACTGCCATGTGTGAATTTTAAAGATTGATGAACCATCGAGCCTTCAAATCTTCAATTTGTTTCTGTTCTTACATTTATTAAATAAGTTTAGCTATTATTAAGACAGAGCATTTGGGCACGGACTGCAAATATTATATCTTATTACCATTTTTTTAATCGTTGTTATGATCAATTCAATTGACATTTGGTTGCATTTTCTTCAGCTCGGGGGAGCGTCCATCCAACCTCATCATGGCTATGGTTATAGGGGACGTGGAAGAGGAAGAGGAATTGGGGTATGCTCTGTTTGCTATTTCTTTTAAGATGAACCTGGAAGGACTTTTAGCCCCTTATATGTACAGAATTTGATAACTCTTAGGTTAAAGTGAGGTGTATTATTTATTAAGGGATAGGGGTGGTGTTACATAGAATATCTGAATTTATAGGTTTTATGTCTCACCATTATGCCAGAAGCATGGAATTTTGCTCAAAGTTTTTCTTGTTTTGTGTGGTCTTGAAAATTTGAATTCATGCTCTGCAGGGTTTACGCCCGGTTGAAAGATTCACTGAAGATTTTGACTTCATGGCTATGAACGAGAAATTCAAAAAGGATGAAGTGTGGGGCCATCTAGGTAAAAGCAACAAGTCTTCAAAGGAAAAAGAGGTGGAAGAAAATGCCAGTGAAGATGAAAGTCAAGATGAAGACAATGGTGATGTATCAAAAGTGGAATCGAAGGTAATGCCTTTACCATGTTGTCTATAACTCTCACCATATTCACTAGATTTCTTGTCACAATTTTCATGGTTTCCACAGCCTGTTTACAACAAGGATGATTTCTTCGACTCACTCTCTTGCCATGCGCTTGACCATGATTCACAAAATGGAAGGATTAGATATTCTGAACAAATTAAGATCGATACCGAGGTAATGTCTGTCTGCTTGACCTCATTCTTTTTTAGACAATAACCATAAACTAATTTTGCTGATTTGTGGTGCAGACATTTGGTGATTTTCAAAGGCACCGTGGTGGGTGGGGTGGCCGTGGTCCATGGCGTGGTGGACGTTCTCGAGGTGGTGGTTATCATGGAAGGGGGTATGGCTATGGCGGACGAGGAAGGGGACGTGGCGTGCCCAATCCCAATCGTTCTTAGATGGCAGTGTTTGTGTTTGGTTAAGTTGTGGTGGTGGTTTAGGCAGCCACCCACTAAAACAACGGTTTTTGAGGCTATGCCTCAATATGGTGTTTTTTCTTATATCCATTTGGTCATAGAATAAGTAGGACAGATTTTTCTTGTTATGTAGCTGCCTAAATTTGGTTTGGTGCGAAGATTTAATTTGAGTTGATAACATGAGAAAGGCAGAAGTTTATACTAGTCTCTTGCGATGAATTGTTTATGTATGTAAGCAATCAGCAAGTTATACATTTTAGAGGCGGATTATCTATCAGATTGTTTGCATTGTAAATGCAAGTTATAGTTTTTGTTATGCGACCTTCACTCCCTCTGGCTAGAATGTGAAAACGCTGTTCTTCAAATCATTGGGCAGCCCAATCTTACATCATATAAATCAAGATCTAAACATGTGAGTTTTTGTAGAAGTTACATAATTATTTGAAATGATCACATTACTTTAAATTTTGATCATCCGTGTATGTATAGTAATATGATTTATATTTACTTTTCTCATTCTCAAGAAAAGCCATTTTCACAATATATGACCCTTATATAACGAGAATTATAAATTTGAGACATTAAATTATATTTAATTGGTCAAGATTAACAAATATACAATTTTTATTTATTTTCTATTTATTGTGGATATGTGATCCCATCTAACTTTGAGTCTTGGTTGTATGTAGTTTTCATTTCTAGCCAAGATCTTTCAACAGTTTTATCTTTTTCCCAAAATTCAAACTTTGATCATCTTATGATAAAATGTTTTTTTTTTCACTCATAATGATATTAATATGAAATATTTACTGTAAAAAATAATGATTAATTTTTGTTATAACCAACATGTACACAAGGAGTAAAATGGTTTACTATACTTATTACATATAACCGTCTTTCAAAAAAAAAAATATTGGCAGAAGTTGTTACCACCTGCCATGAATAATATTTTAACTTAAACTCCTATGCGAAGGTGGAAAACTTGCACAGTGGGAGCTGATGGTGCTTGACTGTTAGATATTTAATTTCCGCTCTCTATGCCTTTCTGATTTGAGCTCAGGGTGAAACAACCTCTATTCATGATTCAACTTACCATGATGCAACAACCTTTCTATTTCAGGCCAGAAGTAAAAAATGATGAAGACCAAAAATGTTTATTAAAATATACTCTAACTGATCGCGTTACTAACATTTATTAAATATCAATAAACAGGGGTTAGCTTATTATTACGGGTCATAATCAAAGGATATCAATAATAAGCTAATTTGATATTTTTCTAATTGGCTTTTCACATTTATTATTTTGATTTGTTGAGTTATTCATTGTCAATTTTTATATATTAAATGAAAATTTATTTATTAATATTTATTTTGAACAAGAAATCCTTTAATTAATAGTGTGACTATATAGAAAAAATATCATAAATTCATAATCATGGTTATTCTTTCTTATATAGTTGTGAATCTGATCTGAGAGTGATGCGATTGTCTCGTTATGTTGCCCAAATTATGCAAGAATTTTCATGAGGGAACAAAGATTTATGCTGCAACCTTTCTTTAGCATTTCTTTTACAAAAATTAAGAGCCTAATCTGGTTTGTATTATGTACCCCATTCCATTTGAGTACCAACATGATAAACAAGTTCCACATAAAAGTCGAAAAGACTAACATGTGATGTGTAGCAAAATACCAAAAAGAAAATGAAAAAAAGTAGCTCATTTGCTTTTTCCCCTATCTTCCTATACATACCTTCCAAATGCTTCAGTCCAGTGGGCTAAAAGGCTAAAAAGCTCATAATATCGTGTATATCAACTTTGGCATTATTTCATTTTTGTGGCAATCCTAAATAGAGCTTGCTGTTGAGTAGACCTACTTGCCCCACAAAACTTATACCCCCCCCACAAATCAGACAAGTTGAATAAGCACAAGAAAAAGAACCACACAATGTTTGTGTTTTTATTTTATTCTGTCATATACCTTTTATTTTTAATCCCTGGAAGCTTAATAATGCATTTAGAAAAAGGTTCCTTGTTTATTTTACTAACAATTATTGAAGTGACTGTATGAGCGATTAAGACAAATTTAATACTAAACTCAAATAAGAGTTCTATATTTGATAAATGATTGTACAAATAATATTATTCTCGTAAAGTAAGGTCTGACCATAAAGTATAGCCTCTAATGTAGATTTTAGAATGTGGGTATGTTCTCTTTTAATTCATAAGTTGTATTAAATGGATCAAAAGAATGAGAAAGTTTGGTATCACTGTATCAACCGTAGTAGGTGTCTTGCTGAGTTGTATTCTTGTTGGTAGTTGAACAAATGTCAAATGAAATCATATGCAGAATTAAATATTATAACATCAAATCTCTAAATATTTTTAAAGAATAAAAAAAGAAACTATAAAAATTTATGAAATAAAAGAAGCATCATTAGAATCAAGCATTACATTTACTCAACTTAATAATGAAAGAAACCCTAAATCTTATTTTATTGAGATTTAAAAAAAATAAAATAAGTGAAATTATAAAGATTAAAATTTTTAACTGTAATAACCATCACTTAATAATAATATAATATTCATATGACCATATAAAGTTGTAATTTTACTTTAATTGCTAGAAACGTATTAAAGCTTAGATGGAAATAATGTAAGGAATGATTCTTGGAAAAAGAAAAAAGAAGAACAAGTACTGCAAGATTGTTGAGAAGAAACGATGGAGTAGGCAACGGGAAAAAACGGCTACCTCAAATGAAAGTGAAGGTGGGGCAAGAGTCCCTCACATGAACTACCATACCAATAAATAATAGCATAGGATTAACCTTAAAACGAGGAAGAAACAAAAACCATTGGAGAAACCTGTCTTTGTTCTAGTTTACTGTGACAAGTCCTTTTCAATCAATCTTGTTTCTCAGTTTGGGTTCAAGTGTAACTTCATAGTATTCTTGTGACCAGATCTTTGTTACATATTAGACCCACCCATTTGTGAATTTTGTCAATAAACTCTTTTGGCCACTACATATTGTTGGCCACTGTGTCTCTTAGAGCCAAAGTAGTGCAAGGAATTCTACTTGCTAAGGATAACTTTTGTGTCTGAAAGGTGAAAGTTTGGGAATTTCATGTTTTTAAATCTGGGTTTTGCTTAGCCCTTGAGCCAGGATTTCTCTTTGCTATCTTCTGTTCTGCCCCTGTTTGAATTCTAGGTCATTGGTTTCACTTTCAAAGCTCCAATGGTTTGAATTTTCTGTTATGGAGGTTAGGTGAAATGGGCGTGGTTAGGACATTGATGTCGGTTATAGCTTCATGATAGTCAGGTTAGGACTCATAGTAGCTGCTTCCATCGCAGCCCTCACAGTCAAGCAGCTAAATGTGAATAGCCCTAGATCAGGTACTTGTGCTTATTCAATATTCACCACTTTTTTGTCCACAATTTTTTATCACTTCACTTTTCAACATGCAAAATGTTCTCATGCTGATGGCTTTTCCTGTGAAATAAGCCTGACCCTTTATGTTGAACTTAATTCTCATTGTGATTCAGAACATGATGAAGCAAGATTTAGACAACATCAAGATGACCGTACAGAACAGGAGCAGGACACTTGTTCTACTAATGGTTACACCGAGAAGGTTGTGAGTATATTCAGCTGAAGTTATTGAATTTTATTTTTTTAATTTTGCTGGTTATGACTTATGAGGATTTCTTTCGCATATATTTGTTTTTTTGTGTCTTCATATTTATGGAAAAAATGGGAACGTTTATTTACTTTGGTTACATGATTTGACACTGTTGTAGAGGGAAGAGGAAGAGCAAGAGGAGGTTAAGTTAATTAGCAGCATAATCAATCGAACTGATGATTTTGAAGATGATATTCTAACTGAATTTGAAAGCCTTCTATCCGGGGAGAATGATTTTTCATCACGCCACGACAAGGTTGATGATGAGGCCAAGAAGGGAAGAGTTTATGAAATTGAAATGGCTAACAATGCCAGTGAATTAGAACGGTTGCGGAATCTAGTTAAGGAATTGGAGGAGAGGGAAGTGAGACTAGAAGGTGAATTGCTTGAGTACTATGGTTTGAAGGAGCACGAAGCGGACTTTGTGGAGTTACAAAGGCAGTTGGAAATTAAGACTGTAGAAATAGATATGCTTCATATGACCATTAATTCCTTGCAGGAAGAGAGGAAGAAACTTCAAGAAGAGCTCACAGATAGAGCTTCGGCCAAGAGAGAACTTGAGGTGGCCAGAAGCAAGATCAAGGAACTGCGAAGGCAGATACAGCTTGAAGCTAACCAGGCAAAAACACAGTTGTTGTTGCTTAAACAAAAAGTTTCTGGTCTACTGGCAAAAGAAGAGGCAGCTGTCAAGAAAGATGCCGAAATTAGAAAGAAATTGAAAGCTCTAAATGATTTGGAGGTTGAAGTTGTGGAACTTAAGAGAAAAAACAAGGAACTTCAACATGAGAAGCGAGAACTAACTGTTAAACTCGATGCTGCTGAATCTAGAATTACAGAACTCTCTAATGCGATAGAGGTTAGATTCATAGAGTAGAATTGTTTTCCTTCACTGAGTTAAACAGATGCATGAAACCAATATTTAAGAATTTCTCATAGTTGAGCCAGTGTATGCCAAGTTCTCAGCTACCTAAAATGATTTTTTAAACAATGATTTAACACAGTGAGACCTTCCTTGTTTACCCGTCAAGCAACTAAATATTTGAAGGCCCCAATGTATATCAATAATTCGATGCAAATTAAACATTACCAAATTTTGTTCATATAAATGCAAAAAAGAAAACTGAATCTGAAGTTCTTTCCTTTGTTTTTAGTTAACACCCATACTTTCTTTCTGCTGTGCTTTGCTTAATTGGAAAATTATTTGAGTAATTGAAAAATGTAGTTTACTTTTCATGACAGTAATAAATTAATTATTAGATTTGTATCTTTTACATAGTATAATTTAATTTTGAGATGCTTTGCCTTGAACTGCAGAAGGAAATAGTTGCCAAGGCAAAAGAGGAGGTCAGTAGCCTGAGGCATGTGAATGAAGACTTGCTAAAGCAAGTGGAAGGACTCCAAATGAATAGGTTCAGTGAAGTTGAAGAACTTGTATATCTCCGTTGGGTCAATGCAGGCTTAAGATATGAACTCAGGAATTACCAGGCACCTCCAGGAAAATTATCAGCGTGTGATCTAAACACAAGTCTCAGCCCAAAATCACAAGAAAAAGCTAAGCATTTAATGCAAGAATATGCTGGATCAGAGCATGGACAAGGTGACACAGATCTTTATAGTAATTTCTCCCATCCCTCTTCCCCAGGCAGTGAAGATTTTGACAATGCTTCTTCCATTGATAGCTCTATGAGTAAACATAGTAGCATTAGCAAGAAAAATAGTTTAATCCAAAAGTTGAAGAGATGGGGCAAAAGCAAAGATGATTCAAGTGCTCTTTCATCACCAGCCAGATATCTTTCAGGTGGCTCTCCTAGCAGGATGAGTATGAGTAATAGACCTAGAGATTCCCTGGAATCCTTGATGCAAAGGGATGCTGGTCATACTGTAGCCATCAATACCTTTGAACAGAAGGATCAGGAACCTACTGATTCTCCTGAAACTCTAGATCTTTCTAACATAAGAAGAGTTTCATCAAGTGACTCCTTAAATTCTGTTGCAGCTTCATTCCAATTGATGTCTAAGACAGTTGTTGGGTCTCTGGATGAAAAATATCCTGCATATAAAGACCGCCATAAATTGGCCTTAGTAAGGGAAAAACAGATTAAGGAAAAGGCTGAGAAAGCAAGAGCACAGAAGTTTGGTGACAATTCAAATTCGAATATGAACAAGGCTGAACTATCTATACCACTAAAACTCTCTCAATTAAAGAAGGCATATGCTTCTGGTAGTCCAAATGATCATCCTGACAATTCAAAGGATGTTGATAATCAAACCATTGGCAAAATGAAGCTTGTCCACATTGAGAAAAGACCACCTAGGGTGCCTCAGCCACCTCCTAAACCATCTGATGGTGCTCCTGTTAGTACAAATTCAAATCCTTCAAATGGAGCTTCATTCACTCCATTTGTGCCTCCTCCACCACCCCCACCAACACCACCCCCACCAACACCACCAGGTGGACCACTACCTCTGGGAAGCCTATCAAGAGGAGTATTAGCTGGTGACAAAGTTCACCGTGCTCCTGAGCTAGTTGAATTTTATCAAACATTGATGAAACGGGAGGCAAAGAAGGATACTTCATTAATTTCTTCTACAATGCGTGCATCTGATGCTAGGAGTGACATGATTGGGGAAATTGAGAATAGATCATCATTCCTCTTAGCTGTAAGATTATAATTTCCCCCCAGATTTTTTTATTTTATTTGATAATGGCATTTCGATCATTACAAATTTTAGAATCTTCTTTTTAATGGATCTAGGTAAAAGCCGATGTGGAAACACAAGGTGAATTTGTCATATCCTTGGCAACTGAAGTTCGAGTGGCCTCCTTCTCTAAGATTGAAGATTTAGTGGCTTTTGTGAACTGGCTAGATGAGGAACTTTCCTTCCTGGTAATCCTAGTGTCATTGCAGCCCCATCATAGTAAAACAAGCTTCTAAAAACAACTTCTTATAAATTGAAGATGTTGTGAGAAAACATGGAAGTTGATCTGTGCAATGTTTTACATATAAATTGCATTCCTGTTTATTCAAAATTAGGTCATTCACTTTGACCTCACTTTCTCAACTTTATGCATATTAAAAAAGGGCTCATTTCCTCCTTTCTATCCAATGACTTGCATTTTATTCATCTCATTTTATTCCTTTATATAAGGTCGATGAACGAGCTGTTCTCAAGCACTTTGATTGGCCTGAAGGGAAAACAGATGCATTGAGGGAGGCAGCTTTTGAATATCTGGATCTGATGAAATTGGAGAAGCAAGTCTCCACCTTCACTGATGATCCCAATCTCCCATGTGAAGCTGCTTTGGAGAAAATGTACTTGTTGCTTGAAAAGTAAGCATCATTTTTTATGTTTTAGTTTTACATACCATTAGTACTAGATTAGGAAGTCAATCCTTTGTGGATATTTTCCTGAGAACTCTATATAGAATGACTCTTACTTGCGATGGATATAAACTATTTTCTGATGTCTACTTAAATGCTTTAGATTCAGACTTTGCAAGTCGCAGATTTAGAATGTGACATACTCATTTAGGTTCATGTTTCTTGGCATATAAGTTCCTTGCTATTCTCTATAGATATGCCATGAAGCTTATATATCAATTCATTAATTTCCATGTTGCTCTGATTTTATTTCCAGAGTGGAGCAAAGCATACATGCACTCTTACGGACAAGAGATATGGCTATTTCACGGTACAAGGAGTTTGGAATACCAGTAAATTGGCTATTAGATACAGGAGTTGTGGGCAAGGTATGCTTCTCAACTTAACATAATCAGTCTTGTGTTCTAGTTAAGACAATTGAAGTAGGTGTTTTCTTTCTATCTATACCTGTTGAGTTTGCAAGATTTTGTGTTTGGTTACAATTATCAGTGAAATGATCAAATTAATTTGACCAGTTGATTCCCCATGCCCCCTTTCCCACAATGATTTATATCATTCCCTTAAAAAGCATAAGCTCTTTCTGTATGAAATTTTGTATTCCTGTTTATTTCCCTTGTACTTTACTTTTTTCTCTTCCCCTAAATTTTTGCACCTTTCGTTAGAACACCTCAGGAAAACCTTCTTGGAAAATACAATTCTATCATACCTTCAATAGTAGCCTGTTTGCTAATAATAATATTGCATAATTGTTTATAAATTGTAACATGCATGCATACGTTGGAAGTATAGGGATAAGATGGATAGGTAGGGAGAAAAGCAAGAATATATTTAACTGGTAGTTCTCTGAATAATTGTTTAGTTTAGATGCTGCATAACACTGAGTCAAACTCACTGATGCTTCCCTTCAAGCTAAAATCAGCTACTTACTACTAAGCATATGCATATCACTAGTAAACAAAATAAACTAAAAAATATAATAACTAGTGCATGCTTTGGTTTGCTGTTATGACCTTGCGTTGTTGCCTGCTTCTGTTTAATTCTATCAAATGGTCACTTTGTACTTGCTACCGGTAACAACTCCCGTTGCAGATCAAGCTTTCTTCTGTGCAACTGGCAAACAAGTATATGAAACGTGTTGCATCTGAACTTGATATATTATCCGGCCCCAAGAAGGAACCAACTAGAGAGTTTTTTATTCTTCAAGGAGTGCGTTTTGCTTTCCGTGTTCATCAGGTAGTTTTAAAAGGCTCTTGGTTATGATATCACTCTTCTAAATCCATCATAAACACAAAATGACTTTGCATAGATAAGCAGTCTATCTGAAGTGTAACGAAGTTGACTAATCCGGTTCCAATTGTTCTTTTTCTGGCTGAAAAAGCTATTTCCTCTTTAGCACCTGAGAATTGCGCTTACTCTATAGCATTATGGTTTCTTATTTTGATTACATTTCAATACAAATACTATAGCTAAATTGATATGCATTCAATGGTACAGACCAAGAGGTTTCTCTTGTTCCGGGAACACCCTAGAAATTTTCCTTTCATTGTCATGACTGAAAAATCTGTAGTGTGGATTTTTTGAAACAAAAGAATAATGAATTAAATAGAGTGGAACTCTTTTCAGTTTGCAGGAGGCTTTGATACAGAGACCATGAAGGCTTTTGAAGAACTAAGGAGCCGCATCCATGATCCAGCAGGTTAAGATAATAACCAGAAACGTAGATGATCAACAAAATATATATATTTTTTCCCTTATTTTTTCACTCTAGTAGTAGCTTCTCTAATATATGTTACCTTGTCAGCTGTATATGTCGTTCTGCTGGCTCAATTTTCATTGAATATACTGAATGCTATACAATGATAAATGAATCATACTGTAGTTGTAGATTTGTAATGTGAAAATGAAAATAATGATCACTGTATTCGTATGGTTATAGCAATATATGAACGATACTCATTTGCATTTGGTCTGGACACAGCCAAACTCAAACCCCATTTGTGATTTTCAGTTCCACTGTGCTCTGTACTCTTCATCTCCCTTATCATTGTCACAAAATTGTTTTCTATTCTTCACCCCCAAAGCCTTTATTTTCTCATGAAAATATTAATTATTGGTATTACTAATGACTTAAATATCCGTTGGGCCCATACTTGGAAATGAGTGCATCATGTTCTTTTTTCATTACACTCCATTTTTTTTTTTTTTTTTTGTAGTTTAGAAACTATGAATTCATTATTCATGTGTGATTGAAAGGCAAGATACGTTTGAAGTGAGTACAAAAATGAAGTAATTTTTTGAATAGTACCAGATCTGACCCTTATAATAGATTGTTTTTACATTTAATATACAGAAGAAAATTTTAGTTAAAATATTGTCAGCTATGAGATAAGAAACTGCATCATGTGTAATTGTTTAACAACTGTAGCCGTA